GAGAAATAGAAAAGCGAATAGTTAAAGCTAAAAAAGTGATAGGATGCCTAAATGGAATCTTATGGGGTAAGGAAATAACAAAGAAGAGAAAATTCAATATATACGAGACAATGATAAAAAGCAGCCTTCTATATGGAGCCGAGACTTGGAGAATTACAGACAGACAAAAGAAAAAAGTGGAAGCAGTTGAAATGGATGCTATTAGAATTAGAAGATCCTTGCGAATCTTGCGAAGAGAGAGAATAAGGAACGACAACATAAAACAACAAATGATAATAGAAGGCACAATAGTTCAGGACATTGAAAGGGAACAACTCACCTAGTACGGACGCGCAGAACGAATATCAAATACCAGGTGGCTCAGAAAAATAATGCATTGGCAACCAACATGTTGAAGAAAATGAGAAAGACCAAAACTGGAATGGCAGACCATACAAAAGTCCATGAGTGAAAGAAATCTCTCATCAGAGGATTGCGACGATAGAAAAGGATCGAAATTAGGTGTCGGACAATGAAGAAAGATGTTCTTAAACGACATACAGGGTGTCCCAGGGAAAACAGTCCACCCCGATTTATTGGATTTGGGATGAGAATCTGGAAAAAAGCTCGGACACATCGATTCTTTTTTTGAGGGGGAACTATTTTTCAGTTTTATTTATCCCCGTAGCTTCAACCCCCTAGCTAGAGGGAGAACAACCTTCCATATTTGAATAGGGGATAGGGGTCGTATCATGTCTCTTCTTAAAGGTCTCATCGAGTTCTTCATGGCCCTAGAATTTCGTCTCATATTTTCATCCGTAACAAAATGACAGCTTGTCAAAATCTTGGAAATAGAGAAACAGACTATTAGTTTTAGTGGGAGTAAAAGCGATATTTATTGTTATTAATGAGGTGTACACGAGAATTGTAAATTGTAGGTATTTTTACACGTATTTTTATTAAGGGAGATAAGTACTAGTCCCCAGTACATCGACCTTAAAATTTTGTAACTCATGTACACGCTCAACTTCCTGAGCGGCTTCATAACACCAAGTCGGACAATATTTTTCAAGTCTCCACCCTGGGCGATGGGATATTGCTGCGCTAGCGTGAAGTTGTCGTTCTGACGTCCCTAAGGAAGTTGATACATGTACGTGTAGTTTCAATGCCAATCGACTGTTTTTTACATTACATTAACGATATCACATTTGTCGGACAAAAACCATGTGGCTTTGGGGAAGGTCCGACACCCCCAACATGTCGCTGTGCCGTCCCTAAGGAAGTTGATATATGTACGTGTAATTTTAATGCCAATCGACTGTTTTTTGTATTACATTAACGATATCATATATGTCGGACAAAAATCACGTGGCTTCGGGGGGGTCCGACGCTCTCAACATGTCGCTGTGGCGTCCCTAAGCAAGTTGACACATGTACGTGTGTTTTTAATACCAATCGACAGTTTTTTACATTACATTAACGATATCACATTTATCGGACAAGAAATTTGAGACAATCAATGAAAAAATTAAAATAAGTTTGCCTTAACGCAACGTGCATATTAGTCAGTTTATAATTTACCTATACTTTGTCAAATACCTGTGGGGCCCTGTGTCATATTCCCTGATCTGTTTTTTTGATTGTTCTCCGAGTATTTACGGAAATTATTTAGTGAACGGTCATTCAAAACCACGCGTGTGAGAAAGAATGGATATTCAGTCGTGTTTTTTGTGCAATCTCAGGAGTGAAAATCCTGAATTTCGGCAGAAATTGAGGACTTTTGTTGTCCGACTGACTTTAATACTCATTTTATTTGTCCGACATTCACTACACATGTTTTAAAATTACATTGTTATTCATGTTTATTTTTGTCGGACATACATGTATCAACTTCCTTAGGGACGCCACAGCGACATGTTGGGGGCGTCGAACCCCCCCAAACCCACGTGATTTTTGTCCGACCTATGTGATATCAATAATGTAACATAGAAAACAGTCGATTGGCATCAAAACCACACGTACATGTATCAACTTCCTCAGGGACGCCACAGCGACATTTTGAGGGCGTAGGACATTCCCCAAAGCCACATGGTTTTTGTCCGATAAATGTGATATCGTTAATGTAATATAAAAAACACTCGATTGGCATTGAAACTACATGTATATGTATCAACTTTTTTAGGGACGTCAGAACGACAACTTCACGAAGAGCTAGCGCGGCAATGTCCCATCGCCCAGGGTGGAGATATGAAAAATATTGTCCGACTTGGTGTTATGAAGCCGCTCAGGAAGTTTGGCGTGTACATGAGTTACAAAATTTTAGGGTCGATGTACTGGGGACTATACCGCTTTTACTCCTACTAAAACAATACTCTATTTCCAAGATTTTGACAAGCTGTCATTTCGTTACGGATGAAAATAATAAGATGAAATTCTAGGGCCATAAAGAACTCGATGAGACCTTTAAAAAGAGGTATGACACGACCCCTATTCCCTATTCATGGGGGGTTGTTCTCCCCCTAGCTAGGGAGTTGAACCTACGGGGATGAAAAAAACTGAATAATAGTTCCCCCTCAAAACAAACATCGACGCATCCGAGCGTTTGCTCAGATTCTCATCCCAAATCCAATAAATCGGGGTGGACTGTTTTCCCTGGGACACCCTGTATATGTATATCGTTGTTATCAATAGTTAACAATATTGAGATCAAGATTTGAATTTGATGATGCGCGAAAAAGTTGATACGCTTTTGAGTTTTGGCCAATGTTGTAAATACGGTCAAGCTGCAGATAAGTATGGAGAAAGGTCACCACGAAAAAGCATTATTTTTGAGAACTTGCATCGCAAATGGAAAGAGACATAAATTATCAAGGACAAAGCGCAGTTATTCATAATGGATGAAAAAATAACTGAAGCTTCTGAAAAAACAAGTTATGTGTATAAGTAAAAAAATAGTAGATGCCTATATGCGTGTTACCGATGGCTAATAAATCAAGGATCTAATATTCTCGAAAATCACATGCAGGAAGGTGTCCCACCCTATACTGCCATAGTTATAAGTACATTGAAGTATTTGAACCAGCCCAACGTTTTGAAGATATTTGGCCAGTCCGCTCCCAGAATTTATCACCATTAAATCACTAAATAAAATAAGAGGTTTTTTCTCACAGCACCAACTTAGTGAAAGATTTCTTGAAGAGGGTACCGGAAGCTATCCCCAGTCAATAATAATTGTTGAAATGCTATGAGTTCCATATTAGATAAGTACTGCAGTTTGAGGATGTCATATTGAGTGAAATTTTAATTATTATGGAAAATACAACTTTGGAGTTTTGGTTCAAACCATGAAAATTATTATGAGTTTGAAAACTGACTAAGCTAAATTGAGTTTGAAATATCAGTTGTGAGGCCTAAATGTGTTTGTTATAATAAAGTACTTTTTTCAGAAATAATGTGAAAAAACCTTGTTAACCCATTGAGTTCCATTAGATAAAATTCAGTAAGGGTTATAAAAAAATGCCATTATAGGTTGACAATGATTATCGAATCTATTCTGCGGAAACTAAAATTCACCGTTTCCATTTCATCCCAAAACTAGATAGTGCTCTAATCATCCATCAAATTGCACACGATATAGATAGTTTTTAAAAAAATATCGGGGGTGAGCCCCCTTTCCTTGACTTATCATTCTCTATAATGTTGCAAAAGCTCGTAATTGTCTCTGAGAAGATGGAAAGGAAAGTCACTTATGTGTTGTGTGTGTTGTTGCCTAATATTTCTTTCAGAATGTGAAATTGATGGATGGACGCGATATCAAAAATGCATGGACATGTGAATAATAGAAATACCTCGTTCTTTAGTAGTTCATGTGACAGTCCGAACGTATTATTCTGTAAAAATCCGACTTTTTAGTTTTTCATAATAGCAACTCATAAATCTGGGGCTTTAACAAGTGCAAGAGGACTGTTGAAATGAAGCATCACTTGACCTCTTTTCACATTTTGAGAGTAATTATTATAACTTTTCTGCTAAGAAGTTGACAGGGGTAAAATTCCCTAAAAAAAGTATCTTTCCGAAATTAAAAAACGATGGGCACAAAAATCTTTTGGGAAAAAAATTTATTCAAGGCCCAAAGTCGGTAAATAGACTTTATTTTAGACAATGTACTTTGCTCTGCTCCAACAAAACTCATATCAACTTTGATTGGAAGTTTATCTGTATATGTTCTAAATAAATCAGTTTCTCGCTGTTTATTTTTATTTTTAATTTCCATTGGGACAGTCAAGTCATCTTAAAGCCTAAAGAACATTCGGAATAGATAATTGCGATTTTGGATAGCTCGATTGGTATACCTTTAATCGGAACAAGAATAATAACAAAGATCTACTAGGTACTTTGTTTGAATACAAATTATTATTTAGTTGGCCGAAACCATGCATGCAATATTTTGGTGATTTTTCTGGAACAATTAGTTTATTTCAGGAATTTTGTAGTAACACCTTTTCCTTAACTACATATTATGTACCTACTCAATGTTTCCGTTACAACCATAATGAATTTAGAAAAAAAAAACATTGCTTTTATTAATTTAAAAATAAAAGAAAAATTGCTACACCAAATGAAAATATTTATTTATTTACACAAGTTTATTTAAAAATAAAACATCCATAACTTACCTCTAAAAAATTAACGGCCTATTCTCAAGACTCAAGATTAAACAAAATCGTCACGTCTCACCGTATTCACCGGCAAAATAATAGAGGCTGCTACACAGACTCAATGAGCTCTATGTCCGCGTCGAGATCAAATTCGCGAACGACTGAAAGTCTCTTCTCTGGCACCGACATTCTGGACCACATCCATAGGAACGGAGCGCGCTAGCGCAGAGAATTTTCGTGTTAGTGTGTTATCGTTTTCATCTGATTCTTTAATGTCTCAAGAACTTGTCGTTGTCGAAAAATTGCTGATAAGGACGCTTTCGAGATTGGAAAATGAGTTCGGGAATCATTTTTAAATAAGAAAATTGAGTATGCAGTTATAAACACATTAGATTTATTTTTTACATAAACATAAACATTCGGAAACTTTATTCGCGTCCAGCAATAGACTCAATATATTCAGCGAAAGATGATACTCTGGAATATGCTGATGACATTCCCGCACCACATCCGGGCGATCCAAAAGATACAATACCAACTTGAAGGCCGTTGACCACAAGTGGACCACCAGAGTCGCCGTTGCAAGGTCCAGCAGAATGGCCACTGTAGTTTCCTCTAGTGCAAATGTGTTGTGACTGGATAAAACCCGGGAAGTCATTGCTGCATTCCTTGTTGGTCATTATTTGAAGTTCGACAACTTGAAGGTATGATGCGAAGTCGATGCTTTCCCGGTTAAATCTTCCTGCAAGAATACATTTTTTTTTACCAATAATAATAACTTATTATTCACTAACTTTATTTTGTAATCGAAGATTTCATGATGGTGAAGGTTGTTTTAACTAAATAGGTATATTTATTTGATGGTTTTGATTGATCGAAAGGCTCGGTGAGTCTGCTGTTACATAGGTAGGTACTTACTGCTTAAGTGAACTTAGTTAAATATTGACTACTCTTAAAAATACTGTATCCATTGTCCACAAGTATTGTTTAATTAGAATAGACTCGCCGGTATAAATATCTGATAGAATCAAGCAAGAAACAATGGGATGCAACCAACGTAAGTGAAGATATCCATCAAGATAAGTACTTCACCATGGACTTGTACAAATAAATCCAGAGCCAATTCGATGATGTCATTGAAGCGTTAGCGGCAAAAGAATGCCGTCATTCCATCTCAACAAATATTAGTTAATCAACCACAACAGAACTTGCAGCTACCAAAAGTACAAATTCTAATTTTCAATGGAGGGTACGAAGACTGGTCTTCATTTTTCAACATTTTCAGAAGGGGAAAATTCAGCGTTGAACAAAGCCGACAAGATGCACTACTTAAAAACTAATACCAGGAGAGAAGCAAGCAGTAACAATTGCGGCCAACTATGATTCAGCATGGGACCTACTGCAAAAGCGGTATGAGAACAAAAGGCTTCTAATATTTAAGCTCCTAGACTAACTAATAGACCTACCAGAAGTCCCAAGAGAGAACGCCCAGAAGCTAAAGCAGCTGCATGACGTCACCAGCGAGTGTCTGTCTACAAGCACTAAAAAATCTAGACGTCAAAGTGGACACCTGGGGACCCATAGTAATCCGAATGACAATGAGAAAGTGGGACGCCGAAACCAGCCGTCGATATGAACAAAGACTTGAGAAGCCTCACGACGTTCCAGAATTGGAAGAATTCATGAAATTCTTGGGAAGAAGACTCCAGTCACTAGAAACTATTCCAGGATCACAACGGAAGCCAAGCTCAGAGAAAAGATACACTAACTCAAGCTGTCTCTTCTGCCAAGACCAATACATGACGTACCACTGTCAGAAGTTCGAAGGAATTTCAGCACAGGAAATAAACAGATATGTTCAAGAAAAACGCATCTGCTACAATTGTCTCAGACATGACATCAATAAGAGACGTTTCAGCCATGCAAAATGTAGCATCTGCAGTCGTCAGCATCATACCATCCTACACATGGAAAGACAGCAACGAAATTCCAACAGGCAAACCAACTACATAGAAAGACGGACAACTTCCCAACCGCGAAATACTCAACGATACCCACCATCAAGAAGATCAGAACATTACCCACCAAGAGGCGCAATGTCTAACCACGCCAGTAGAAATGAAGAAAACGTCCTACTCGCTACTGCTCTAGTAGAAGTGAGCACATCAAGTTCCCCTCAAGCCTTGAGAATTCTTATTGATCAAGGGTCACAAATTTCCATTATTACTGAAGAAGCTGCAAATCGGCTGGGATCACCACGTCATAGCATAAGAGCACAAATCTCAGGAATTGGTGACGGAGAACCAAAAGTCTCTTAATGGTCTATTGACGCACATATCAAACCACGATCTATGAGCACATTCTCTATGGATGTCAATATGATTGTCCTTCCAAAACTTACTCAATCTATGCCAAAACGACACCTACACATAAACAGCATACATAGTTGGAAGAATGAAGTGCTAGCCGATCCAACATTTATGACACCAGGTGCAATAGATGGTATATAAGGCGCAAAGGAATACGCCAATATCATTTTAAACGGCATGCAAAAAAGTACAGAAGGCCTGTTGAAACAAAACAGAGAGTTAGGATGGATCGTTTCTGGCCCAATAGCATCCGGATCTCCCGCCATCCAAGTTGTCAGCATGATCACTCACTATGAATAAGATAGACAGCTAACCAAGTTCTGGGAAATTGAAGAAATAACCCAAGCGCAGCACCTAACAGAAGAAGAGCAAGCATGCGAAGAGATTTTCGAGGGAACCACAACTCGAGACTCCGAGGGTATATTTATTGTTAGAATCCCATTCAAACAGTCTGTAGATGTATTAGGTCACTATAAACCAAGAGCCGCAGCAAGATTCAAAAACATCGAGAGAAAGTTACATCAAGATCCCAGTTTACAAGAACCATATTCTGCATTTATGAAAGAATACATAGAGTTGGATCATATGAGTAAGGTCACCCGACATGAAGTGGATCAAGGGAAATATTACACCCCTCATCAAGCATCAAGCAATCATCAGAGAAGCCAGCACAACATCGCGACTAAGAGTCGTTTTCGATGCATCTTGCAAAAGCTCTACCAACATCAGCCTCAATGACATCATGCACGTCGGCTTAAGACTGCAACAAAACATCGCCGACATACTGCTGTGTTGGGGAAAGCATGAGATTGTGTTCTGCGCAGACATAGAGAAAATGTACAGGCAGATCCGAATTTATCCAGACGATCAACAATTCCAGATAATATTATGGACGGAGCATCCACAGCAACCAATGTATGAATACAAACTGACCACTGTAACCTACGGTACAGCCTCAGCACCATATCTAGCTATCAAGACACTACCGAAGCTTGCAATCGAAGAATCAAACAAATTTCCGGCAGCAAGCCAAGCAGCATTAAGAGACTTATATGTCGATGACATATTATCGGGAGCAGTCTGCTGAATCAGCCCTAGAACTACAAAACCAACTACTAAAAATACTCAGCCTTGCTGGATTCAACCTGAGAAAATGGTCTAGCAACTCATCGGTATTACTCCAATCAATTCCAGAACAGATCCGAAAATAGAAAATACAAGAACTACCTCAGGAAGACATCAAGAAATCTCTGGACGCACTATGGTCATCAGCAGACGATACCTTCAAATTCCAAGTCAAAGTCTCTGAGATACGCGAATAAACAAAACGACAAATTTTGTCAGAAATATCCGAGTTATTCGACCCCTTAGGATGGTTGTCTCCAATCGTAATACAAGCTAAACTCATCATTCAAGACTTATGGCTAAGGAACCTGAGCTGGGATGAGCCTGTAGATCAAGAAATATCTTCAAGATGGATACAGTTTCAGAACAAAATAAAAGAAGTAGAAAAATTCAAGATTCCGAGGTGGATGCATCTGAGAAAAACAAAAATTGAACTCCACGGCTTTTGCGATGCATCAGAAAAGGCCTATGATGTAGTAATCTACAGTCGGATAGGAGAAGAAGATAAACGAATTATAACGCTGCTTCAAGCAAAATCAGAAGTCGCTCCAGCAAAAAACATAACCCGACCTTGCTTGGAACTATGTGCAACAGTCCTACTATCAAAATTAATTCAAAAAATTTAGACAGCACTTTCAGACCTTCGCTTGGACCGACTTCATGATGACTCTTGACTAGATAAAGGGTGACTCTACGAGATGGAAAACCTTCGTGGTGAATAGAGTTTGCGAAATACACAGAAACGCCCCTCAAGCATCGTGGAACCACGTCAAGTCCTAGTGATGCCGCGAGACTCGAGACTGGTCTCGTCTCGTCTCGTGTCGACTCGACTTTTCGAGACGAGACTGGCCTTTGGTCTCGTCTTGTGAAGTCTCGACGAGACAAGAACAAACTCGGCGAGAGTCTCACGTAGACTCGAGTCTCGAGATTACAATTAAAATTTTTCTTTCATAGCTTTATTATTGGACTATTCTGGGCTATTTGAGTATGAAATCAGTAAATTTTGATACTGACAATCAATGGGATGATTTCTACATATCCACTTAATTATTATCAGATTCCCACTTTCGGCTTAGCCAGTAGTGAGATCAATTTAAAAAAATGTTTAAAGCATTATCGACAAAAATGGAAGTTAGATCTGAAGATAAAGTATGTAGAAAACATTCCATTATTTCACAAAAAAATTACAGGTGATTCTTTTTTCAAAAACTGTTTTGTCCGATATTTTTTATTTTTCATTTGACGTTCATATTTTTTCAAATATCACGGTTGCTCTTTACTGTGATTTTTCACTCTTTAAATAACTGCTTTTTCACTGTGGCAGTTTGGACTTCCGTTATAATATAAAAACCATAAATACAGGGTGTACGAAAAATAGCGTAAAAGCTCTTCCCGTAGTAGGGGACCCTAAAAAAATAATTAAAAAACCCTTCTCCAGCATTATTCTTGGTAATATGAAGAGGTAAATGTGGAATATTAATAAATATTAAAATGCAAATAACTTTTTTAAAAATGCCACCAGATTTTTTAAATTATTTTTCTGGGGTTCCTTAAAGGGTCCTCCACGACGTAGTGGAGAGTTCTCACGCTATTTTTCGGACAACCTGTATAACTCGAGACCAGACGAGACCACTCGAGACGAGACGAGACTTGGGCACTCGAGACCGAGACTAAGTCACGGTCTCGTCTCGAGATGTCGAGACGAGAGAAACTAACCTTAAGTCGCGTCTAGTCTCGTCTCGCGGCACCACTATCAAGTTCCAAGAAAACCCAGCAGACATCATATCCAGGAAATTGGATCCAGACAAACTACAATCAGCTGATCTGTGGTGGAAAGGTCCTCATTGGCAGATGTTTCTCCGTGAAATCTCACAACAGACAACATTCCCGACATTCAAGAAGAAGTAAAAGCCACATGTAACAAAATTGAAGTTACGATAAGGAGCGATATATGGGAAGGCTTCTCAAACTTGACAAGGATGCTCGGGGTATTATCCTACTGCCGTCGATTCATCAAAAATGGGGAAAGTCCTACTCTATCTATTCAAGAAGTTCAAGACACTTTCGAAAGAATCATAAAAATAGTCCAACAACAAGAGTTTTCCGAAGAATACAAGTCTTTACAACAGCAGAACGCAGTCGACAAGAAAAGCAAGCTACAGACCCTCAACCCATTTCTCGAGAGCAAGGGCATAATCTGAGTCGGAGGAAGACTCGAACCTCGACTCGAACACTCACCTCTTCCCTA